TCTTGGTTTCTTGATACAAATTTAAGATCAGTTTTGTTATATGTATATGTATTTCTGATCTTAATTAAGGCATTGTGTTTGTGTAGCTCATTTAAAAATGTAATGTATAATTAAGAAATATAGATTAATAGATAGTCATACTAATCAAGCTTATAGTCATGTTAGATAGGTTTTCTAGATATACAGAGATATATTTCAGTTAGGTATTCTTCAAATCTTTCAGAGACCTTCAGAATATGGCATTTAAAATATTTTAAGAACTTAGGACTTTTCATGACAATGAGACACATCTGTTCCTGGCAGCACCAATTACTTCAAGAGGAAGATGGATACCAAAGAGGCTCCTTATGGAATTGGTTAGACATCTGGGCAAGTAACTGCTCTATCCTAGACTGTTTGATGAGCTGTACATGCAAGACCTGCAGAGAAATGACTGTTGAACTTGCCTAAAAGTGAGACAATTCTTAAGAATTCCTGCTTCATGTTCTGGTTTGAAAATGGATTACAAAAACACAAACTTGTTTGTTTCTCATGTGTCTTTTTGCTTTGAAACAGGGCCTCACATTGTAAATCAGATTTGACTTTTTGTAGGAGGAGGGCCTACTTGTTTGTCCCAGCTACCTGGCTAGCTTAGCCCTGAAATAACCACACAGAAACTGTATGAATTAAATCACTGCTTGGCCCATTAGCTCTAACTTCTTATTGGCTAACTCTTACATTTTAATTTAACCCATTTCTTTTAATCTGTGTATCACCACAAAGTAGTGGCCTACCACCAAAGATTCTGCACATCTATCTCTGGCAGCAGATCCATGGTGTCTCGCTGACTCTTCTTCCTGTCAGCATTCAGTTCTGTTTTCCCTGCCTACCTAAGTTCTCCCCTATCAACAGACCAAGACAGTTTCTTTATTCATTAATGGTAATTACAGCACACAGAGAGGACTCCCACACAAAATTTGAGTTTAGGCCCCCTGATCTCAGCCTTCCAAGTCGCAATGACAGCCCTGTAACAGAAAACCCATTCAAATGTTCTTAATTCTACCCATGTTTTTCAGAAGAGGGGTAGAGAAAAGAAATGATACATATTTGAAAAAAAGAATTAGTTTCATTAGGCCCTTCAGCAATTTTGGAAAGAAAAGATACAGTAGCTTGCAGTGCCATTTCAATTGTATTTTAATAAATAAAGACTGTCTGAAGATCTGAGACTAAAACAGTCCCATTGGTCAGCCTTACAGACCAGGTTATGGTAACATGCACCTTTAATCTCAGTAGCCACACTAGTTGCCATAGAAACTGGGCATTGCATGCCTTTAATGATGGTAATGCATGCCTTTAATTCCAGCCCTATAGAGGTTTATAAAATAGGAGGAAACAGCTCTCAGACACAGTCTCATTCTGAGATTCCAGACACAGGATCACTATTTCAGACTGAGGTTGAGTCAAGGGCCAGTGGCTGGCTGTTTTGCTTTTCAGATCTTCAGGCTGAACCCCATTTTCTGATCATGGTTTTACTAATCGCACTTCAGTAACTGCAAAAGCATTAGCCATAATACCATGAATACAAAGGTTAAAATAGTACTTAATGTAAGACTGTTTCTTGAACTATCACCTGGGTCACAACACCTCAACTTTTGCCACATACAAATAAACCATTAGACATTGTTGAGAAGATAATTATTTTTGGAAACATCTTAGTTATTAAGTATCAATTTCCATGTTTATCTTCTCTAACCAAAAGAAGTAGTCAGAATTTGACAAGATCCCAGAGCTCATAGAAATCTTAATATTGGAAGGTGTTTGGTTCATGGATTATCCTTCACATGTTTACATTCTACTGGATTTGTTTTGCCTAAGGCCATAATTTAAGCTATGGGGGAGAGGAAAGACGTTATGTACTCCAGTTGGAACAGAACCAAACAGCCTCTACTACAGGGTTAGGAGCTGTGAATTTTCAAGCAATGGTATCGAACAACGTCAGAACTGCTTCAAATGCTAACAGTCAGGAAAACAGTTTTTCTCCACTTTTGATCTATATAATGACTTTACAGTTAAAATTTGAAGTGAAGGATGCCTTGGCAGAATGAGATTTTTTTTTCTTTCCTAACAACATCACACACACAGGCTTCTGAGTAGTCCTCCTAAGCCTCTGACAAGTAGGACCGGCTTTAATGATCCATATATCACAAACACTGTGGTAGCAACTAAGCCTATACCAATAATGCCTGTCTATTCAAGATACGATTTTAAAGCTTCCAAATTATAATACAATTGGTCAGAAAGAAAGCATGGAAACTAATTTATCGTGCACTTTACTGTACCAGAAAAGATTTCCTTTGTGTGCATCTAGTTTAATCTCTACATCAATCGAGAATGACATCACAAAGTATATGTCCCCTTTGAAGAATAAAGGACACTGTGATTTCAGACATAAATTTCCTGCAATTTATCTAATTAAAATTAATTTAAAAGATAACTAATTTGGAAATATATTTAAAGGGTAGTGTTGGTAAAATGATTAAATAATGGCCAATACTGTCATGATATTAGAAATGAAAAATGTTAGTTTCCATATGGGAATTCATTATTTAGTGATTTTTAAAGGAAATGGAATGGAATCTTACATTTATTTTCATTGTAAAAAATTTGCACTTCATAGAAACAAAAATTTTCAATACAAATATCATTGGTAAGAAACATTGTAAATTAAGGTCAGTCTGGTGGTTCACTGGGTCAAAGCTCTTGCTGCACTCCATGGTGACCTGAGCTTGACCTCTGGGACCCACAGTGTGGAAGTAACTCCTCAAAGACTTTTCCTCTGGCCTCAATAAACACACTGTTAGATACATGACTTAAACACACACATACACACATGCACAGTTGCACACTAGCAACGCTGAAGGCTAGAACATAATACAAAGAAATACTCTGAAGTACATTTTCATGGATAGGTTGGAGAGAACACAGCACATGGCAAGTCCCAGTTCTCGACTCCTCCTTACATATAAATGCTCCAGAACAGAAAAGGAGAAGGAAGAGAGCCTGAACTTACAAAAGCACCTGCTCAATATTGATAATGAAAAGAAAAAATAAGACCACCACTGTATGTTTTTTATGTATTCAGTCTTTCAGGACCATATAGCTACTAACCATTCAAAATGAGGCAATTTCTTCTAAGGAAAAGTGGTGAGATCTACTGAGAATATCTGCCAAGAGAGCAGAGGGCAGGGTACAATTCTTCCCTAGCAGTTCTTTGAGTGAACAACTCACAATGAATGATTCCCTGACTGGGACTCTCTTCCCAGAAGAGTGCTTCTTGTGTGCCAGCAGATGTCATCCTCCAAACATCAGTAATAAGACAGAGACGGAAACCCAGTGCCCTCTGGAGAACAAAACTATTACAGGGCACTTCTGTAATGAAGTAGGTCAGCACTGGTAGTACACAATGGGGTGCCATCAATCAAAGCAAATATTCATGAGCGCAAAGCCATACCTCAAAGCAAGGAGAATTGTTCCTTTTGTAACTTTTTATTATTGTTTTTATTGGGCTATATATTTTTCCCATTCCCCTTCCTCCATTCTCCTTCCCACCCTTCCTCCTCGCCCTACCCCCCATGCTCCCATTTCTTTATATCTTCTTTTTGTGTTTTTTTTTTTTTTTTTTTTTTGGCATCTTTGTAGTTTTGGAGCCTGTCCTGGAACTAGCTCTTGTAGACCAGGCTGACTTCTATCCATTTATGAGTGAGTACACACTGTGTTTGTATTTCTGAGTCTGGGTTACCTCACTCAGGATAGTTTTTTTTTTTTCTAGTTCCATCCATTTGCCTGCAAATTTAATGATGTCATTTTTTTTAAAGCTGAGTAGTACTCCATTGTGTAAATGTACCACATTTTTTGTATCCATTCTTTAGTTGAGGGTCGTCTAGGTTGTTACAAATAATGCTGCTATGAACATAGTTGAAAAAATGTCCTTGTAGTATTATTGAGTATCCTTTGGGTATATGCCCAAGAGTTCTATCTCTGGATCTTGAGGTAGATTGGTTCCTAACTTTCTGAGAAACTGCCATACTGATTTCCAGAATGACTGTACAAGTGTGCACTTCCACCAGCAGTGGAGGAGTGTTCCCCTGACTCCACATCCTCTCTAGCATAAGCTTTCCTTAGTATTTTTGATCTTAGCCATTCTGACAGAGAATTGTTCTTACAGTGTCTCTACTGAACTAATGTAGATAAAAACAGTTCTCTTCCCTTTGTCTCCAATTCTGAACGATCTGTTATTCTAGGCCATCAGTGCTCTCCTTCCATGGTGCATTCTCCTGAAATCATCTATCCCCTCCTGCCATTGCATTTGGGTTCTTTTTATATTTGCCATGCTCATAACAAAACAACTCTCGATTCTAATCAGAAAACATTCAAAACTGAGCTCTGTTTTAAAATTGAAACTACCTAAAAGGTTCCTCTGTGAGGATTACTATGGAGATTTTGTTTTCAAGATTTCTGACTAATATTCTTCAATCACATCTTAGTTCAAGATAAATTTTTTAAGACTGGGTAGGTGGTTCAGTGGTCAAAATCATTTGCTGTGTAAACATGAGGATCCAAGTTCAGATTTCTAGATTCATAGGGTGAAAGTCTGTAACCCCAGGGCTCCTCCAGGGACATGGAAGGCAGATCAGGAGAATTCCTGGAAATGGCTAGGTCAACTAACCTTGTGTACAGAGCAGAGAAATAACAGAGACTCTGAAAGTTGAAGGCGACTGACCTCTGACCTCTAAACCCATGCACATGGGTACATGTGCACCTACAGAATCCACATTTACAAACATCATTGCACAGATGCACACAGACATAGCATAGTTCAAATACATATAAAAAATCCCTAAATTTGTCAACTGTTCAATAAGTACACCTTACTTGCTACATCATTATTTAATATTGCAAAACAGGAGTCACAATTTTAAAAGCAAAACAAAGAAAATCATAATAACTATTACAGAAATTACCTCATCTGATCCTTTATTTTCTCCTGATTTAGAGGATGATCCAGAATTCTTTTTGTTAACATTCTAAAAATATAAAAGCAGAAAAGCAGGTAATAATTAATAAAGGAAGGTGATATAAGACAATTGCATCTTTAATTCAGAAAGATTAAATGCATAAACAACAACAAAACAAACAAGAAAACAAATACCCCTTTTGTGTTCCCCAGAGAATATTGGAATTCTCCATTATTCAGAGGCTCTAAAAACCAAAGGATCATACAGATATTGATTTAGGAGTCAGGAAATCAGTTTATAACTAACCATGTGCAAAACTGATGGTAATGCCTCTTTGGCATCTAATCCCCTGTAAGTATACTTCTCATGGGTTTCTGAAGCACAGACTGCTAGTAGGGGAATATCTGGCTCATTATTGAGATGAGATCTTTTAAAGACCATATTGTATGTGAAGCCATACTTAACCATTAGTTCAGCATGGGCACAAGCAGATAGTAGTGAAAGAACAAAGGTCTACAACCTTACAGGTCACCCATCAGTTCCAACAGTTCTAAATTTTCTTAGAGTTCTTCCATCAAATATTCACCAATATGAAATTATAACTATGAAGAGAAAGACCATGCATGTAACTGCTCCTATTTGTGATTTTAAATTTTAATTATGTCCATGAATAGAATCATCATTATTTTCCTACACAATAAAGAAAGATGTAGGTATTTTTATGAGGAACACAGAGTTTCAAGAAGTTCACATACTCATTTGTTTTGACAATAGGTAAAGTAAGTCAAAATATCACTTTCCTCTATTGATCACTTTTTTTAGAAAAAAATATTTGCATGCTCTTCAGAAGAAGAAACAAAGCATTATCTAATTTCTTACTGTGAAAAGTGTTAGGCACTGGAAAAAAAATAAGACAAGGGAGTCAAATGTAAGAAAAATGACAGTTCTCTGTTGGTTCTAATTCTGATCATCTTTATTGAAACCAAATTGCAGGGGCTAGAGATGGCTCCATGGTTAAGAGCACAGACTTCTCTTCCAACGGACATGGGTTTGGATACCAGTAGTCACATAGTAACTGACAGCCATCTGTAACTCCAGTTCTAGGGGAAAAGCCTCTTCTGTCCTCCATAGACACCAGACTTGTACATGGTGCACAGACATACAGGCTAAACATTTATACACTTAGAACAATAAAATAAACCAAATTTGAAAATAATATATTTTCTAGAAAAGAATCAAAACATTGATATGTAGACAGAAATTATAATAATAATAATAGTAACAATTTGCATTATCCACAGTTATTTTATGACATTCTATATGAACTGAAAAACTGAGCTATCCAATTTTATAAAAGAGAAATTAAGCATACTAGCAATTTGGTGTTTTTAAGACACATATCTAGTAAATGTGAAACAGTCAAGAAGCAAGTTTTTTTTTTACTTCAAATCTGTTGTTTCTAATATATCAATAGATATATTAAAAGGAAAACAAAATGGCCAAGATAAAAGAACTCACTCATGGCAAGAACATTTCCGTCATTGTATTTTATATGAGTAACTTTAAGTGAATGTAAACTTCATCCCCTACAAAAGCACTTTCTGGGATAAGTGAATTGAATCTACAGAAATGAGCCATATTGAACAGTTTGATGAAAAGAATTTCCTGCAGGGCTTATTATTGTTATGTGTCCAGATCAAGGGTTTTCTTATCTAAAAGTGAGAGCAATCGGCAATGAGGAATTAATGAATCTTAAAAAAAAAATAAAACAAACCCCCCAAAAAACAAACAACAGGACCTAAAGGCCTATGTATAACACAAATATGACAATATATACTTACTGGAACTTAAAGTGGAAGGATTACTTGATCCCTGGAACTTGAAATCAGTATGGGAAACATGTTGAGACTTGGTCTCAATAAGCATACAAATAATAAGCAGGTCCTCAAGTTCACATATACAGTAAAACTATATACCAAGTTATAATTGGTGAACACAATGACAATACTAAGAGCTAGAGAATAATTTCCTCAAATCACACAGCCATTAGTTTGAGATTAGCTCTGTAGAACATTCTTGCATCAGCTCCTGAAACAGAAGCTAGATGCTGTATTAGTAATGGACTATATATATATGTGTATATATATATATATATATATACACACATATATATATAAGTTCAGATACCACAAATGATTTTAAACAGCCAATTAGATGATTGGCTACAAAACTACAGGCCTCCTAGTAGATCAAAACCCAAATAAAGCAAAGGCCTAGATGTAGCCAATCCAGTAATTTATCTGTCTTCAGTCTGTAAAAGCACCCCCACATCCTGCTAATGAAACCTAGCTCTCTTAACTTCTAGGTTTTAGTGCTGCCCTAATCATGAATTATATCATATCTCAGAAAAATCTCACTTAAATTTATTTTGTCTAAACTCTTTTCACATCTCTAAAAGAGCCACTCAGTGTGAAGATAGTGTCTGGTAAGGTCAAGTCTACAAAAACACAGATTTATCCCATCTGTCTCCTTGAAGATTCATAACTCCAGAACCAGGACAGCACATTTGCTTGCTCTCTGTAACCAGTGTCAGCAAAGTAACAACACCACGGTTTCATTGCTGCTTCACTGTTTTGAGTGCGGACTTTCCTTTCAGGCAATATGGCATTCCATTCTACAAGAGGAAAAACCTATATTGCTCTTTCCAGTACAAGTCTCCCCTCTCCTTCAAGCACTCTGCTTCTTGCTCATGGGACAAATGTGAGTTATAGACACTACCCACCAGCAGGTGTGTTGATAGAAATTTCCCCTTTGAAGTATTAGCAATGTGTATTTAAACACATTTTTAAAATTCTTTTAATTGGAATGCTTTAAATGATTTTTACTGAAGTCCCATCCCAGTCATTTAGTTTCATACACACACACACACACACACACACACACACACACACACAATCCCCCAAGGCCTAAAGATTCCAAACACTATTTCCAGAGTTATCTGTAATGAGTGTTTTCTAAAATGATGAGTTACAATTTCAACCTTAAAATATATTATAGGCAGTGGTATTTTTATTAACAAAAGAATTGCATTTTAAATGAATGGAAAGGTTTTCATTAGCAATAAAAGACACAAATAAAAATCACTTATGATCAAGCCCCAACATTTTTATACCTTCTTAGATAACATTTTTCTAGTGATTTTTTAAATCTAGCATTTTATTAAAGTTTTCTAAACACACATAAATGTTTTAAGAATAATATCCTGATTTCCTGTATTCTCACTACTTAGATTCAGAAGCTAATTAATGTTGTTACTGTATGTCTTAGTTGGGGCTATATTCCTGTGATAAAACACCATGGACAAAAAAAACTTGGGGAGGAAAGAGGTTATTCAGCTTACACTTCCATATCACTGTTCATCATCAAAGGAGCAGGATAGGGATTTAAACAGGGTAACAACCTAGATGCAAAAGCCGATGCAGAGGTCATGGATGGGTGCTCCTTACAGACTTTCTCCTCATGGCTTTCTCAGCCTACTTTCATATAGAACCTATGACCACCAGCCTGCTGTAGGACAATGGTCTTGTACCTGTAAAGATTTGTCACTTGTACTGTTTTAATAAAATGCTGATTTGCCAGTAGCCAGACAGGAAGTATAGGTGGGGTGAACAGGCAGGAAGTATAGTCAGGTGATGAGAACTGAAAAATTCTGGAAAGAAAAAAGGCTCTGTCTACATTCATCACTCAGACACAGAGGAAACAATATGAAAATGCCTTGCTGATAAAAGGTATCAAGCCACGTAGTTAACATAGACAAAAATAATGGATTAATGTACAATATAAGAGTTAGTTAATAAGAAATCCTGTGCTAATAGGCCAGTTTATAATTAATGTAGATCTCTGTGTGTTTATTTGGGACTGAAGGGCTACAGGACCCAGTGGGACAAAAACCTCTGTCAACACCAGCCCAGGGATGGCACCACTCCCAACTAAGAAAGCCAGACCCTATAGAGGCATTTTCTTAATTGATGTTCCCTCTTCTCAAATGAAACAAAATCATCCAGTACACTATATTTTTGCTATGCTTGCACATACATGGGCACAGGATTATGATGTATACCTGTACTTGAAAGTAAGCTATAAAAGTCTTGAAATTTAACACTAAACATTTCAAATACTAAGCATCTCCTTAAATTTAGCACAGGTCCCAGTATAAACCCATTGCCATTATTATGCCAAAAACATTAACAAAAATTCCCTAATGACATTCAATTTCCAGTAAACAGCCACTTTATAATCATTGCCTCATAGCTTCTTGAAGATAATATATATAATATTATCCTGCTAATAATATCAAATCAGTTAAATGTTTTCACTGAAATTCAAGTACAGCAAATTCAATGATGAAAATAACTGACCATAATTCACTCATTTATATTGGTGAATAAAATATGTGGGGATGATACACATCATATTTGACCCAGATCAGAAACCTACAGTACTCTTTCTAAAAGATAACAAGGAGGACTTAGTTTATTGCTACCACATGTGGCTGGTAGGATGGTCACAGAGGAGAGAAGCATGGGGCAGGAAAGGAGTAACAGATTCCAAAATAGAATAGACTATATTATTAAAGGACCACATATGAGGGAAAAGAAACTAGGGACAATATTAGGTACTAGGCATGTGTTCCCCTTTGTTCTCCATAATGACTCTAGGGACCACACACTGTCGCCTCATCTATGGATAAAGAGAGCTGATGCTCTACTCTGCCAAGATACTTAAAGATTACAGTCTAGTCGAAGATTGCGCCATATAGAACCAGGTATAATCTATGTAGGATTTTGTGATTTGCATCTAGTCTTTAGGGTAATATAGCTCTCTAACATGAAAGCAAAACAGCAGAGCAAAACATCTTCCGATTCTAAAACCAATCTGTAATATGTGTGAATTAGAGGAAAAGTCAAAGTCAGAAAAGAGCAAGAGGGGAAACTACACAGGGCTAAGACAGAGAGAGGTGGCCAATGCTGCAGGAGTTTAGTGGCAGATGTGTGTTTGGGATGGGTAAT